ATATATATATATACATACATATATACATACATATATATACATATACATACACGTATACATATATACATATACATATACATATACATACATATACATATATATATGTATGTATGTATGTATATATATATATATATTGCTTGAATTGCTCCTGCAATCTCTTCATCGCGTCTCCTGTTTCTTTTGCTACACTACAGTGACATCAAGCGTGCCCGTCACACTGATCAAATGCTATACTGCCCCCATGTGGAAGGTGCCAGTAATAACAAAAGTGTGCCATGCTCAGAGCACCTCAGTGCTAACTTCGCAGCTGGTGGATTCGAACCTTCCGGACCCAAGTCCGCTTCCTTAACCACTAAGCCACCACTGCCGCGTAATTTATTTTTGAAAATTATTTGTATTTTCGAAAATTATTACTCAACCATAACCCCTCGACCACCAGGGATAATGACTGAACATGACATATTGCTAATCTGCAATGAGCTCTATAGAAATCTGGGAACTCCAAAATAATAATAAAAAGTCACCAGAAATGGATCGTCACGGTGAAGAAGTGACTACAGTGTGCGGAACTAATGTAGACTTGCGTTCTTTGTTTTGCAGACAGTGGAACCGGTGGACAAGCTGTTGCGAAACGTCGATCCGGCCAAAGATAGAGAGCTATGGGTAAAGGAAAACAAAACAGGCGAGGTTCGACCCGTGGACATGGACATTTGAGTCCAACCCTGGATAATAAGTTGTTCTGTCTTCAGTATCACAGCTCAGTGTCCCCATATTTCTGATCACACTGATCAGGGGCAGTGCATGTTTTGACCTCCTCCGGGGTTTCTCCTCCTTGTCTTTCTAATACTGACTGAAATAACATGATTCATGCACATAAAAAGGTCTGAGGTTAGGAAACAGTACCAGCATGTTCCTTCTGAATTTGAACCCTGTCATAAACAACATTAGCTTACGGAAAAAAAACAAAAACATTTAACATACCGTACTGTTTAAAAAAAAAAAACATTTAACATACCGTACTGTTTACGTACCTGTTGTAACATAAAAAAAATATATAATGTATTTTGAATTGTTTAGCTTGCTTTACGATCACTTTTCTAATTTGAGTATATAAAACTAAAAAAAAAAATCGTATCGATATTTCTTTTATTTTAGATACAGCTATTTAATCATACGGAGATCTTAGATTGGATATGATATATTTTCATATTTTTGCTGGTTTATTTATGGTGCAAATGCATGTTTTGAATATCTCAACCTGACTATACAGTATATAAAGAGCTGCACATTTTGTGTAACCATGGTGTTTGTATAAAGTCATTGACTTTTATCTATCTTTTTAACATCTTTACAGAAAAAAAACATTTGGTTTTCAATCTCTGTGTACAGCATTGTAATCCAATAACCTCGACGCAGCCACACGTACGGTCTTGTTGTTTCAGATCTGATCAAGATTCAGTAGTCTTTCCGATCGATCTGCCGTCAAAAAAGGTGTTCCAAGTCACATGACACCTTTTAGTGCCTAAGGGTTAAATGCCTGGAATGTCCTTAAAATACTCTGCAACTATGTATATTTACCAGTGTACATAACGGCTAGATGTTATTTTGCTGTCAAACGTCTAAGCAGGACTTTGGATCCTCAGGTCGATGAGGTTTTAGTGTGTCGTTAACGTTGTCCGTCTTACGTTTTTTTTTTTTTTTGCTCGGTCAGTGACTGTGTTGTCAATGTGCCGGTGTTCAGACCGAAGGCGTCAAGCACAGGAAAGAAACAGTTCAAAATGAGATCAACTCCACACAGAGGCAGGTGTGTTTTGGGTTTGATTGTCAAAGTCTTTTAGCCACACAACATCTTAGCTAGTACAGGGAAATGCACATTATAAATATTAACAGAAAAAAAGATTTTTAGAATGCATACACTCGCATTACATATGAAAAAACATTTGTTTGGGTCTTTGAAAGACGCAATGTCGCGTGAATTGTCGGTGTAAATGTTTACTCTTTCGGATGCACCGCCTTCCCCGACGTCTCTAACACTACATCGCCTAATCTATTATGGACATCTTAGCATCTCGTACTCAGCCTCTAGAACTTAACGCAGGCGTGGGCAAACCTTTTGACTCGTGGGCCACAATGGGTCCTAAAATTAGGTTAGGAGCAGATAGATGGAGCGTTCGTGTGAACAAAGATAAGTAAAAGTCATTCATAAAGGCTAAAATGCTTTTATTATTTTCTATTCGCCATCTATTGGGAGAACGTGGGTATTGCAGGGAAAAGGTAGAAGGGTGATGAAAATAGAAATTAATAACATCATTTCGAAAAGTTTGGTGGGCTGGATTAAAAAGCCAAATAGGACGCATCTGGCCGCTGGGCCGTAATTTGCCCATGCCTGACTTAGCCATATCATTTGAATGAGAATGATTTAACATCATACCCTGAACTGAATCCTTTTTAAAACAAGAAAAGAAGAAGAAGCACAATTTTTAAAACTGGCAACCTCTGTGTGGACGAGTTCTAACAATGATTGTATTGATGCTGAACTTTCGTGGGACTGCATGTACATTTAATGTCTGTTTACGTGTTCCAGTACGTGCGCGTTCGTCTTCAAGTGTCTCTGCATTTCAGAACGATTTGGATTTCAACTTTACAAAAGGACAAGGCTGACTGACAAAGGAGAAAAAAAAAAAATCTCACTTGTAAACCGGAGAAGAGAACTCGTATATGTGCGCAATCTGTTGTGTTTTCCATTAAATGACAGGAAGGCCACTGTTATTTGTGTGTTCCAAGTTTGAGTACCATTAACTGTTGTATGCGTTTTATTGGTCTGTGTCAATGTCATGAAGCTGAATAGGAGGGGGGGAGAAAAAAAACCTTTTATGTTTTAAGTAAATGTTCCTGACACGTGTGGACATGTTTGTGACGCTATAACAGTTGATGTGACCTTTGCAACTCTGTGCTAAACATTTTCACGACCTGCATTAAATCTGGCGTGTTTTCAGAATGTTTGATTGTAGCTGATTTTTGTCCAAAAGTAATGTGGAATGACGTGTCCAAAATAAATCTCTATTTCTCTCTGGAAATGGAATGTGTCATTGTGTCAAGCATATGGCCCGCGGGCCAAAATCGGTCCGCTAGTACAGCAGTCCCCAACCTTTTCTGCACCAAGGACCGGTGATACTGCACCTTCATTGAAGGATCATAACATTTGGTAAATAAAACATCTTTCAGACTTTATACTGTTAGTATTAGGGTCTGAAAGATGTTTTCTTTTGACTGGATTCTTTTTGACTGAAGGGAATTAGTAGATGGATGGATGGATGGATGGATGGATGGATGGATAGATGGTAAAACTGAAGTACATTTTTCACTGTGTCCCACTATGGCCTGGTACCAAATGACCTACGGAACAACACTGGTCCCCGGACCTGGGGTTGCGCACCCCTGCACTAGGGGTTTCAATCTGACCCACTTGATGAATTTTCATTAAATCTGAATGTTTTCTAATATACTTGTACTTCTTTACAAGAAAACAAAGGGGAAAACATAGACTTATTGTTATTTATAGGTCATTATGTTACACTTGTACTGGTCCGGCCCACTTCACATCTAATCGGGCAGTATGGGACAATTTAAAATGAGGAGACAATAAGAGGTTGAGACATGAGGATGAGGATGAGGATATGTATCAACGTGACAAAAAGAGATACCGTGGAACCTCGATTTTTGAACATCATTCCTGAGACGAAAAGTTTGAATCCTAAAACAATTTTCCCCGTAGGAATCTACGTAAAATGGATTCATCCTAGGGTGACCACCTCCAAACCGACAAAATGCGGGACAAGTAGCAGGTTTTATTGCACGAAAACATAAAAATAAAAAATAGAAATACCCCAGCGCCACCAAACTGATTTTGCATCACAATCCAGCAGGTGGCAGCCTTTCTCAGCACTGTGATAAGCACGTTTCTGAAACACATTAGCAGCAGAAAAGCAACCAAATGTTAAAACCTAGGCTATAACAAGATTCAATGACCATGAATATATATTCTGCAACGTTATAGAACTCTGCGGTCGGTTAACCGATATGAATGTGCCTATTGCACTGCATGGTAAACACTGGTAATTTCAACTGCAGTCATTTTATTCGGCACACTAAACATCGGCGCCTTCATAGCATCAAAACAAGTGCCTATCATTGCTATTGACAGCACTGACAGGCGTTCCCATAGACAGCCAAGCACATAAAATAGTTTATTTTCAATTAAGTAACGATGTATGGAAAAACTGGGACAAAATGTAAATGTAAAGCGGGACACTCTCACTTAAATTAATCCGTTTATATTCAAACTTTTTCAACAGCATTTTGTGTACACGTTCACACACGAAACCAATGAACATAATTAGGTCTAACAAAAAAGATAAACACCACTGAATAAACAATAAAGCTATAAAAAGGAAAGGCAATTTCATTCATTCTTACCGGTGGTGGAGAGTTGTGATGTTGGCTTCGCTTACTCGCAAACTAGTCTCCGAAAATACTGTCGTTGGCCAACTGCTTTTCGTTGATTCACATCAGTAGCAACTTTTCCACTTCTTCTAATGGCTGAGATATTTGCTTGGTGATCACAGTCACTCCTTTGGCGACCTTAGCTTCTTTTATTGCTTCCTTGTTCTTAACGATGGTACAAATCGACGACATTGCTAAGCCATACCGTAAAGCCAGACATAAAACACGAGCGCCATTTTCGCTTTTGTATAAACTTTTTTTTTTTTTACTTCTACTATTTTTCTTTCAGCTTTTCTACTTTCCCTAGCCTTTTAAGGTCCCATGGGTCCCGGAAAGAAATAGCACAGCGCAAGAAATATCGGCAAAATCAGTCAACAACTCTTAGCGTATATATCTTTCGCGGGCTGACGTCACACTCTCAGTCACTGATATTGGCTTGTTCGGCAACCGAGTTATGACACAACATCCGGGTCAATTTTTGGTTAAAATTCTCGATTGTTCGAAAATGGAGGCGTTCGACACTGTACTGCAATACTATCCTTCAGTTTAGTGAAGACTCTTATAAAAATAAAACTCTTATGAAAACCTTACTGAAAAAAAATATTTCTTTATTCTCTTTAGCTTTGAAAGATAGATTTAAGCAGCGTACATCAGCACTGATATCATCACTAATAGTAACTAGAGTTCAGTCACTGGTTGTCTCTTTTGACCTTCAGCTCTTACAGTAGGATTTGCTGATACAGAGAGGATTGTTCAGCTAAGTCTAAGTCCCCTCTTAAGACGCTCCGTTTGATTTTGCAATCAAGCTAATGAATCACAAGATTACATCCAAATAAGTTAAATCTTAATATGGATTACATTTGAAAAAAACGGAATATTTTTCACCTTAGAGCGCCATCATTCATCCATCATGTTAGGGCATTTAATTTTTTGGAGTCACTTTTTTAGCATGACGCATATCAAACAGTGTTTGAGTAGTGGTTATGATGGTTGCCTTGTACGCGGAAGGTCCTAGGTGCGAGTCCCAAAATCACGCGGTGAATTTCTCTTCTTAAGGGACCATAATTTGATCGGAATTGAAATTATATTAGTTAAATATATAAGTAGTGTGTAACTGATATTTTTCTGATGTGTTTTGAGTTTTTTTGTCTTTGACGAACACAAGAGTATTTCTATAAATTATTTCAAGCAGCAGTACAACTTTATTTTTTTTTTTTGGTTAATTTGTTTATTTTTTATTTTAGCCTTCATGTTCCATCAACGAACCACTGAATCTTATATGAGGCTTAGAATTCATTCAATTTTGCAGTAGATTTGAAAATGGCTCCCATTTATATCTTAACACTTTCACACATTTTGTGCTCGCTCAGCGGAATACAGTTGTACAAAACTCACAGTCACAAAACACAGTTACTTAAAACGACAGATATACAAAACAAATAACGGGGATACAGTTGATTTAACTATTTCCCCAATGATATTTTTTTTAATATCAAAACCTTAGCTACGATGAAAATAAACAGAAACAGGAAATGAAAAAAAAGTCTTTAAATCACAAGATTTTTTTTTTGATTTTTTATTTTTTGCAGTCTACCGCTTCTTCTCTCTCAGCTTGTCTTTAACCTTCTGAGGTTCATCATATTGTATCAACCGTAAAATGTCCTTGTTGCCCATCACACCTTGAATGAATTCACCTTCCGAGATTTTATCTGTGCAACAAATTCAAATGTAAACAAAACAAATTTTAAAATATTTGTCTATTTATGAGATGGGTGGAGTAAGAATGCATGTGGATTACCATTTTCTCTCTTTCCAAAGAAGTCCCAGATTTTGTCTGATCTCTTTTCTGGCGTGTTTTCATCTTCTGGAAGATTCTTCTGATCATCA